ATTTATACAAATTAAGTTGCCAATATATAATTTCTTGAACTGGTTTTATTATCGAAGGAAGGACGAAACTTGGGTTATCCTTTAACTTATAACAATTCTAGTAATATAGTATAGATCCCTGTTTCAGGGGAAAATAAGCATGAGACAGGGTGATGATTACCTTCATGTATGTATCTATGTCGGACTCAGGGATAATTCCAGCCTGCTTCTCCCTTCTACTAACTTCCTCCATAATTTCTTCATGGGAAATTATATTTTGCATTAAGGATCACTTTCTATGTAGGTGTAAGATCAATATCTACAAGTTGTTTTGGACGATCTTAAGTCCTTACCTTGTCTGCTTCCAACACCTTGAAAGCGTGCTGAAAAATCCAAAGTCTCCCGTACAGTCATCTCAGGAATATGCAGATCATATGGCTCACGTAAGCTGCTGTTTTCTCTTGGACAAACTCCTTTACTCTGAAGCCATTATATGAAATTTCTCCTGCAACCTGTGATAGAATTTTCTGTTATTGAAGGTTGAAATCTATATAGAAAAGTACAAACAAATTTTTTGGAAGGGGAATTTGCTTCGATGCAATCCAACCATTGCTAATGACTTTCTTTTGAGGTAGCAAATTTTTTGGAAGGGGAATTTGCTTCGATGCAATCCAACCATTGCTAATGACTTTCTTTTGAGGTAGGAAGCCCACTACCAAAGGGCCTGTTACAGGTATTTGCAAGAAAAAAAAGCTGTGTGCATGATGGATTGCAGTCTGCAATAAGCATTGTCAAGAATAGTGCTTCTGATGACCAGTAAGTATAGATAACATGAAGTCCTGTCTATAATGGTGAGGTTAAGCTTGTGGAATGGTAATTGCCTATCTGTTGCTCATCTGGATTCTGTATTGCTGATTTTCAATTGCTTGAGATTAAACTATTTATAAGAAATGGAGGTAGCACACGGCTTGCAATGGTGGGGTCTTTTCAAGCTATCCTTTCATTTTCTTTATCCTGGTCCTTCGACGGTGCCT